AGGCTTTGTTACCCTCGAGTTTAGCTGCTTCCGCGAGCTCAGGATTTATGTATGCTTGGCGTTCCATTTCCTTTATCTTCTTGTCCAAAGCCTGCGATTTCTTTATGACATCTGGAGCTCGGAACTCAGAGAGTGATTTGTCATAGTATTTTTTGGCATTCTGCAAGTCTCCCTGGTTTTCATAACAATGCGCAATACGAGCGAAAGCCTTCGCAATAAGTTTGTAGTCAGAGCGAAGCTCACGACCCTTAGAGACGGCCTCTTCGCAAATCTCAATGCACTTTGGGTAGTCACGCATCTCAAAGTAGACCGCAGATTTGTTTGTGAGGAAAGTAATGTTCTTAGGATCAAGTTCAATGGCCTTGTCATAATGGGAGATGGCAGTCTGAAAATCTTTCTTTTTATATGCAGCGTTTCCTAATTCTTTCTCCTTTAGGGCTTCTTTCTCAACATCAGCCAGTTCAGGCTCCTTTGGCTTTGGTTCCGACTTTTTAGGAGGTGATGGAGGAGGGGAGCATTCGTCCATTGGCTCCTGGGCAGTAAATAGTGTAAAGACGGTCTCCTTTATCTTCGGATCCTTCATCAGGAACTGCAAAAGGGCTGGATTTTCCTGAAGTGATCGCAGCTTTTCTACGTATTCAGGATCCTTAAGATATTCTTTTAGGACAGGATGGCCAGCAACCCTAGCAGGAAGGGAGCCCAGCGCCATCCGCGCCCTCACATTCATTGCACTTTCCTGAAATTGTTCGTTGGAAGGCTCCAAGTCCATAGCCTTTAGGTATGCTTCCTCGGCCTCCTTAAAGCGTCCCAAAAATTCTAGAGCCGTGCCTTTCCTGTTGTACCCCTTGGCCCATGAAGGATTTAATTTTACACATTGTTCTGCATCCTTAAGAGCATCATCGTACTGGCCGACCTTAGCGTAGGCAGCGGATCTGTTGCTGAAGAGAACGTGATTTTTTTCATCAAGCTTAATTGCCGAAGTATAATACTCTATCGCTTGATCATATTTGCCCTGACTGAGAGCAGCATTGCCCTGGTTCTTCAGCTCAAGAGAAGTGGACATCACGTGGGAGAGACGAGGAGCAAATGTACACGAACAACACACCCAAAGCGCTCACAACAATTGGTCCGTTAGAGCGTATGTATCTATAAGTAAAAAAATTCACCGAGACTATTGGTCAGCGTGGACGAAGCTACAAATAACACGACTGGACTTGAAATCGAGGTTCTAGAAGTAAATAGTTAGATTAATGAGTATTAGTGCACTATAACAATTTGGCATGTGTGATGCACATGCTTCAGATATTTCTCTAAATACGTGCATAATAAGTCTACATTTGCATGTTTTGACATTCTCCATGTAATTTTAACTATTGCTTTTACTATACCGCTTCCTTTCGGTGGTTATTCTAGAGTGTCCAGGTTCCTCTACTGCAATTATGAAAAAAAGTTCCATAAATACATCCTTTGCTTTGCTGTAACGCATTACTCTAAATGAGACAAATTTTTAAAGGGGATCGAGAATTTTTTCGCTAGTTTTTCCCAATTTGCCTCTGTAGGACAACAGTCAATCAATATCCACATTCATAGGGTGTGGAGTCCTATGTGGGACTCTGTTCGGACAGACCCTTATTCTCTTGTTTGTTTATTACTGTGTACCGAAAATGGACTATGAGTGTGTTGTGCTTGCAAAAGATATGTAATTGTGGAAAGTGCTCAAAGATGCTGCCAGCGAGCTGACTTTCAGGACTTCCGTCGATTAAGTGAGGGGTCTTACAGATTACTTTTGTCCTTCAATCCGAACAGATGTACTCGCCTGTGCCTGGTAGATCAAAATTTCGTCCATAAATATGCAGCGCTATGACTTGAATGGCATGCCATGTCCAGAAGGAGGAAAACAGGAGTATCTCAGGATTTGAGTGGTAGATAACCGAAAGCCCTCTACACAATTATGTGAGGCGGCCATAGCTGCAATTGCAATGTTGTACACCGTCGAGTGGGTATTTAACGTGTTGTGATGAAAACTGC